AGCGACTTGAGTTGTAGTCTGTTGGTGGGCAAGGGAATGACTGGCAATGTGAGTGTGCGTGTAGATGAGTTCTGAGGAAACGAACTCCTATATGTGCAAAACTCATTAGAATAAGCCGTGCTGTGGTGGGGTCAAACGCCACACTCACGTCGGGAGAAAAGTTGCTACGACATGAATCTTTGGTTGTTTATTAGTCCTTTCGGTCACTCGATAGGTAGATGCATCGGAGTAAGATGGTGGAGCATACATCTTCAGCTATTGATTCAACCGACTGGGTACTGTCGTGGAACTGTCCGTTATCGCTGAACTTTATTTTGGGTGGGAGGTCGCGATTCGTACCGGAAACATGAGGCAGTAACAGGTGGATAGGTCTTCAAGTTGAATTCCAATAGAATCATTCTATTGTGGGTTACAATGTGTGGCATGACTCCTTCTATCGTTGACGCCAGTGACCGTGCTGAGAAGGAACGGATATTCAGCACCGTTTCGAGGTGAGTGAGACCTCGGAGGTAGAGATATCGCCTGCCGACACGGAGCTCCTCTTCTTGTTTAGGCATCAGGGCCGTGTTCACGTTCTCGGGTCGACACTTTTTTTGAAGTCGCAAATGTCGGTTTTACGAGACTCTAACGCGGGTTGTTCGGATTTCCGTCGCGCATCTGGATGCATAACAAGTATGCTTATTAGGGCGGCCATCGATCTTGGGTGGATACGGTGAGCGGCAGTCGATGGAGTGTCGGAGGCATCTTGCAGGTCTGAGGAGAGGTGTGTTACTACGCCGACTCAAGAAACTGTGAACGGAGTTAGTCTCTCGGAGGCTGGTCTCGTTGCCGTCAGCGTGTAAGGGGACTGCGATTTCTGATGTGAATAATCCGTTTGTCCTCACACGAGCTCACGGACTCGCGCGTAGCGTTGTAATATCTTACTTTCGGTCAGTGTTCGTGCTGGCGAGAGTATGGAGGGTCCAGTCCGACAGATATTCCCTGAGGCCAGGACTGGGAAGATACTCATCCAACGTGATGAGGAGACGGCAATGCCTGAACTATTTTATATCAAACTGCCGTCCGGCAAGTAATAGAGGGATGGAGCTGCTGTTACACCGGTTTGATCCTGACTTGATCACAATCTTTA